TGGTGTCTTATGTATGAACAATGTTCTAACAGATGAGAGCTAATTGAGGCAGTGCATGAACGTTCATCTTACCCTTCATGTTTCATCATTTTAGTGATATAGTCTAAAAGTTGCTGTTGGCAACATTACTGTATGAACATGTCATTTAAAATAATTAAGTTTGTGAAAACAGCATTTACCACAAATAATTCAATGTTTGTACTGCAATACAATTATCTGTAAGTTTTATCCCAATGAATGTAAAAATTGGTCTGATTTTGCAGCAATTCGCAGCTGAGAAAAACTACAAGAAAGAGAGGAACAGGCCGCAATGGTGACATGCAATAAAAACAGAAAATGCTGGAGAAACTCAGCAGATCTGGCAGCATCTACACAGAAAGAAACCCATGTAATGGTTTGAGTCCAATATGACACTTCTTTAGTGTTAAGTTGGAAACATTAACTCTGACTATCTGTACAAAGGTGCTGCGAATCCAGGTGAGTTTCTCAGCACTTTCTGTTTTTAATTTACGTCTTCAGCAGCTGCAGATTTTTCTAACATAAAGTTTCCTCATCTCTTTCATGTCTGTGTGGGCTTCTAGGCTTTTCCTTGAGGGCAGGTGCTTTGCAATAGGTAAATTTATAAATGAAAAACAGGGTGCAATAAGATTCCTGACTTTTGTGGATAATTTTCTTGTTTGTTCACCAACTAAACATCCACTTTGCTAGGGAGCAGAAAAACTGTAACTCAGACCCTACACCTGGCCCCTCTTCAATCCGAGAGGGGGAGGTTAATGATACTTTTTTCCCTGATAAGGTCATTCAGCGACAGATCACTTGGAATCCTTCTGGCTACTCTCTTTTGGGATAACAATAACAATCTGCATTTATTTACCACCTGCAATTTAGAAAAATATTCTACATACTTCAGAGGTGTAATTAGAATCATAATATGGTTACAGTACAGAAAGAGGTTGTTTGGTCTGTCATTTCTGTTACAATTCAGTACAGAAGCCAGTCCCAATTCCTCTTACCTTTTCTCTGTAGCCCAGTACTTCATTTTCTTTCAGCTGCTTATCCAATTAACTTCTGAAAGCCATGTCTGAAACCACCAAACCTACAGGTACTGCATTCCATATTGTAACTAATCACTGCTGAAAAATGTCCTCATGTGGCCTTCAGTTCTTTTGGCAATTAGCTTATATCAGCATCTTCTGGTTCTGAACCCTTCCACCAATGGGAAGTGTATCCATCTATCGTCTGTCTCCACCCTTCATAATTTTGGACACTTATAAAATCTCTTCTCAAACACTTTTCTAAGGATAACAACCCCAGCTTCTTCAGTCTATCAGCATAGCCAAATTCCTTCATCCCTGGAACCATTCTCACAACTCTGCTCTGCACCCTGTTTAAAGCTTACATATTTTAGCTAAAGTTTGGTGCCCAAAATTAGACACAATGCTCCATTTGAGGCCGAGGCAGCATTTTATAAAGGTGTGTTGTACTATCCTGGCTTTTGTACATTGTTCTTCCATTTATAAAGCCGAGGAGTCTGAATGCTATTTTAACTACTTTCTTAATCTACCATGTCAACTTTAATGATTTGTTCATGAAAATCTCAGAGCTTTGTTTTTGCACCCCTTTAGAATTGTAAATTTTATTTTATATCTGGTACATTCAATCTGCTTCACCAATATCCTCGATGGAAGTAAATATTTGGGAATTCATATATACTGTTTCAACTATATTAACCTCATTAATCTTTTCTGTACTTCACCAAAAACTAAATCAAGTTAGTTAAACACAATTTACCTTTAACAAATCCTTATTTGGTTTCATTAATTAATCCATACTCATCCTGTTACTCTTGGCCTGGATTGTCCCCTCTGTCAGTTTTCCCAACATCGGGGTTAAATTTACTATAATCCGCTTTTTGCCAAAGAAAAATTTAACATTTGTAATTGTTCACTCCTCTGGAAACACTCTTCACTCCACATCTAAGCAGCATTAAAAGCTTTGGCAAGTATCTCCTGCAAGTGGCCCTTTCACTTCCCTCAGCATCATCATTTGCATCCTGCCTAGATCTGGGGACCTATCGACTTCAAGTACTGTCAGCCTTTCTGACACTTCCTTTTTATCAATTTTCAATCCATCACGTGCCTCAACTGCCTTTCACTGTTACTTTGGAAGCACCTTCTTCCGTGGTAAAGGTAAATGCAAAGCATTCATTTAGTACTTCAGCCATCTTATCTATCTCCATGCATGGATCATTTTTTAGCCCCTAAGTGACCACAACCCTCCTCTTACTTTCCTTTACTGTTTACACATCTATAGGAAGCTTCTAGATTTCCTTTTTGTGTTATTTGCCAATCTCTTCTCATCCACTTTGCATCGATTACTTCCTTTTTCACTTCCACTCTGAACTTCAGATATTCAGCCTCATTCACAATATCAACCTGACATCTGTCATCAGCAGAGATAGGGATTTCTGAAGAAGGGTTCTGACCCAAAATGTCAACTTTCCTGCTCCTCTGATACTGCCTGGCCTGCTGTGTTCCTCCAGCTCCATACTGTGTTATCTCTGTCATCTGCATCCCTTTTCTGCTTATCCCACTCTCTATCCTTTTCATTTGCCATCAATTATACTCAAACTGTCTCCTTTCTAAAGCCAACCCATTCTTCTTCTAAAGTTTTACATAGTAGTCTTTGATTCCAATTTATGTGGGAGAGATCTGTTCTCAGCCCACTGATATTGGAACTAAGTATTTAACACTAGGTCCCATCTCGTCTTTTTCCGTGCCTAATCTAAACCAAATAATAACTGTGACACCATGATCACTATTTTCTCAATGATCCCCTAGTCAAGCTTGATTTAATTCACCCACCTCAGATCCAGCAATGTGGCCTTCCTTATTCAACCAAAATCATACTGATCAAGAAAGTTCTTCTGAACAGTCTTTAAATTCTCTTCCCCCTGTCTGCCCTTTGCACTATTACTGTTCCAATTTAGATTAGGATAACTGAAGTCCCTCATCATTACTATCTATGGTTTTTGCAATATTTTGTAATTTCCTTGGAAATAGCCTTTGAACTCAATTTAAACCCACCCCAACAGCACCAGCAAACCATGCATGGTCTGGTCTTTGCATGTCTCACAATGGTTTCTGCTGTGTTACGCTGCAAACTGTCTGTGTATGGCCTGTTTAGTGTACCAACTCATTGTAAACTGGTCCTAACGCCGTAGGATTCTAAAGCCCACGCTGTTGCACCATCTCTCCATCCAAGCATTTATCTGTACAATCACCCTATTTCTAGCTTCATCACGTTTCACCAGAAGTAGTCCTGAGATTAATACCCATGACGTTCTGCTTCTTAGTCATATCTCCACTTCACTCTTTCTGAAAACTGTAAAAGCATGGATGAGGTATTCAGCAGAAGATGACACATTGTTATGAAGGTGGAAGCAGACAGGTTTTGTGACACACAGTGAGGACAGTTTGAGGCTCTGGCCAAGGACCAGGGTAGAATCTGTGGAACAGGTACTGGGTTTGTGTTGTTACTGCTTTTGGGCCTTATGTTTAACAATACATGCCCTGACCATTGTGGTCATTGCTTTTTCATCAGGCCTCTCAAACTGCCCTAGCAACTAACTTCCTTCCAGGTTCCAGGTGCTATAGCCTGCCAGGAGTAGACATGTACCAAGGAGTATTTGAGTCATTTAAATAAGCTTATCTTATAAATGAAGTTGGATTTAATATTAATTTTGTGCGCTTCAGTTGCATTTCACTTGTCTCAAACCTAAGTTCAATGCCCAGAGCAAAACTGACCCTTACATTTTTAAAACACAAGAAAGCAGATTTGGATATCTTTTGATAAAATGCTCCTTTTTCCAACTTTCTTGAATTTAAATGAAGAAATTGCTGACATTTAATAATCTCTTCATGTTATAGAGTCATTGCAAGTGAGAAGCAGTTCTGTAACACCTAAGGCAGCCAGATCTATAAAATTCTTCCTTGTCAAAATGCAGCATGAATTTCACAGCCCTCAAAACCAACAGATTTATGGAAGCTTGCACATCGAGAGTTGAAAGTTTTGGTTTTTGGATATCTGATGGCTCAAAGTCATTACAGGGCCTGATGGTAAATCATTGTCACACAGATTTGCAGGCAGCAGCTCCACTCTATTTGCCTTAAAATACTGTTATAAAGTCAAGGCTCCTTGCTTTCAAATAAATGTTCACAGACTCTATCTTAATACTCATCAGTTTTTAATTCATTCAAATGGTTTACAGTTTTATACTGGGCATGCCCAGGACTCTTGATGACAATATGTCTGCTGACCCCCAAAGCCCATGTTTAGCTAAGTATGAGTAAGCACAGCTCTGACCCCAACCCAACCATTGCCATAACCACTACTTGTATATGGCAGACATTTAGGGTTAATGATATGTCGGAACAATGGCCAGAGAATCAATAAAACTCGTAAGATGAATCACCAGCCTCAAACAGGTCTGAATTTTCCAATAGCAATCTATCTATCAAGTATACTGCTGTTCTGAACTTTGCGATGAGGAAAGAAAACAAGTGGATCTGTGTTTATGAATTTCCTATACACACATTACGCTGCTGGTGCTGCAAAAAAGGCTTCAAAAATTCATTAACTGTATCTATTTAATCTTAATGTATATCTTTCTACTTGCCATGTAATTTTTATGTGTGGTGGAAATTAATTCAGCTGACGCCTCAATTTTTAACACTCTATACTGTGTGATATCATAAAGATTTCATGTTTTTGGATATTTGCTTTACAGTGAAATTAACTTTGCAGCCATTACACTATATATATGCTTGAGAATTTCGGAGTAAAATCATTTTCACGTCACAAACAATGCAAGGCAAAAGATTGCATTTTAGGCATTTAGAGAAACCTTTGTGAATCATGTAAACTCCAACTCCAAATATCAGATTGTCCTATTAGAAAGGACACATAAAGCCTTTGGTGACCCTCAATATTATACTCACCATCTTGCAGCCTGGACAGTCATTACCATTCTGACATGTTCGCCTGCGGGCCTGGACACCTCCCCCACACTGTGCGGTGCAGCGTTCCCATGGACCCCAAGGCGTCCAGAATGTGTGTGGAAGGCACTGAAGATGTTCATTGCAATACCTAGAAAAGCAGCAGAGTGATGAGAATAAACGTACTGTGTAGTAGCAATCACAGGAAAATCTTGTGGCTGGTCTGGATTTTCCAAATAGTGGTAATCTCACACAGATTGATCCCTTGGCCATTTTTTTAATGAAAGAAGGGAAATCTGCATTTCTGAGAGGAGATTCAATCCAGGCATAGACATACTTCCATTCTGACGGTTCTTGTGTAGTGCAGAACTGCTGGAGGGAGACAAACCACAGCCCCTAATCACTGCAGTCAATTACTGGACTCTGAAATTTACAGGCCCTGACAGCCACTTTGACACCTGCTATCAAACTGTAAGTACATAAGGTAAGTGTGATGTTAGGGTGCCAGATGGGTAGGGGATAGATTGCTAGGGGTATGCTGCCAGGTAGGTAGCTTGCTACATAGGTACAGGGTAGAATGCCAGTTGGAAAGAGAGCCAGGTAAGTGATGCAGTAGGTCAGGATGGGGGGAGAAATTGGTCCATCAGGGGACAGAGAGGATGAGTGTTGGGTCCAGGGGTTGACAAGGGATGGGGGGAGCTGGTGTGTCAGGTCCTGTGGTGGCTGTGGGGGTGGGATCAAGTCACAGAACAGTTGAGGGAATGCACAGTCAGGTCCAGCAGTGACGGTAGGGGGCATTGTGCAAGGGACCTGGGGATGGTGTAGTTGGGGGTGTAAGGGGTCTGTTTAATTGTTACTCAGGAGTAAAACTGTATTTAATAGTCTAACCTTTCCTGTGTAACTACTGTTTTTAATTATATTGGAATTCTCCAAATTCTTTCAGAGAGGCATTTTCCAGACATAGTGGAATTGCCCAGCGGAAAATTCAATTTCCTGGGCAATTCCTTCCAAATCTGCTAAATTGGGATTCCACAGGATACACATGCGCAACTCCAACCTACACTGGATTAATAACTGTCTGGCCATCGGAAAATCTGGACTTGCGTGAGTATTAGCAATGTTTTTGACTAAAACCTAAGATAATGTGGAGGGCTCATGAGAATACAATAAGATGTGCACATCAGAACAAAAAGGTTATACGTTGCAGGTCTAAATGCAACTTAATGATGAAAGTAAGGCAAACGTATTTCAAAAACATTTTGCTAGCCCGTGAGTTAAACACAACAGTGAAAGTGCATTACTACAGATGATTAAATGTTTCTAGTGAACGAATGACAACCATGCATTTCTGTTGGGAATAGAGGACCCCTTTGTACTGTATTTCAGCACCTGCAACATCATAATACTACACTTAGGATTTTGCTGACTGCTGTGTGTGACACAGCTTAAGTGCATGATATCTGATTGAATACAATGGTGGCGTGATAATCAAATGAATCTCTGAAAGGGAATTTCACTGAACTTGGCAGCATTTTATGGAAGTAATTCTCACATACATTTATAGGGCTCAAATGTGAATGCTTTTGAGTGATGATTAGATGACTAGATTTATGAAACAACCATGTGACCATGCCTCCACATTTTAAGCATTCCCAACTGTTAATTATTTTCAAACGCTTTTTGTTTAGTTTTTCCTTCACTCCGACTCCTGAGTTTTCTAACAGCAATGATAATGCTTTAGAGTAAGGCAGCTTATTGGAGATTTAGCAGAGGTGTTTAAGATCATGAAGGGTTTAGATTCGTTTTACTTCATTAGTGGGGTGAGGAAGTTTTTGTCTATAAGCCAACAGTTGACACCCATCCCTAATTCCCCTGGGGTAGCTGGTGGTGAGTTTCCTTCTTGAACTGCTCCAGTCCAAGTAACACAGGTACTGTGGTGTTAGGAAGAGGATCAGGCACATTTGACCCTATAGTAATATGACAATATAGTTAGAATCATAGGATCCCTACAGCACAGATAGAGGTTATTCAGCCCTTCAAGTCTACATCAACCCTCCGAAGAGCATTCCACTCCCCCACCCAATCCCTGTAAACCCCCCATTTACCATTGCTAACCCTCTTAGCCTATACAACCCTGGACATTACGGAGTAATTTAGCATGGCCAATCCACCTAACGTGCACATCTTTGGACTGCAGACGGAAACCAGAGCACCCAGCAGAAACACATGCAGACATTGGGAGAATATGCAAACTCCACACAGACAGTCACCTGGGTCCCTGGCGCTGTGAGACAACAGTGCTAACCACTGGACCACCGTGCCGCCTCCAGTAACATCAGGACAGTGTGTCGCTTGGTGGGGAACTTTCATGGTGTGGTGTTTCCATGTGCCAGCCACCTTTATTCTTCTAGGTGGTAGAGGTCACAGGTTTTGAAGTTGCTGTCAAAGGAGACTTGGCAAATTTCTGCAGTACAACTTGTAGATGACACACACAGCTGCCACTGTGCGTTGATGGCAGAGGGAGTGACTATTTAAGATGGAGGGTAATGTGTAAATTATGCAGACTGCATTATAATGTGGTGTTCAATGTTTCTCGAGCTGCACTCTTCCAAACAATTGGAGAATATGCAAATACACTCCTAACTGGTATCAACACAGTGGTGGACAGGGCAGTCAGGGGTTAATTTCTTGCAGCAGAATTCCCAATCTGTCACCACATGTTACACCTACAATATTTATACTGTTGGTCCAGTTCATATACTGGTCAATTGTTACTCCAGAAGGTTGACAGTGAAGAATTTGGTGATGATAATGCCATTGAACATCACGAGAAGATTTGTGGTTATATTCTGTCTCTTACTGTAGATAGTCATTGCCTGTCACTTGTGTAGCAAGAATTTCATTTCCCATTTATTAGTTCAGTTGTTCAGTTCTTGATGCACGTGGGCACAGACTACTTCAGTATCTTAGGACTTGAGAATGGTAGTGAACAATGTACAATCATCAGCAAATACCCCCACTTCTGACCTTAAGGAGGGACGTTCATTGATGAAGCAGCTGAAGGCAGTTGGACCTCGAACACTTAGAACTTGTGGTGAACTTCTGGAGCTGAAACTATTGTCCTCCAACAAACACACCATCTTCGTTAATATGAGGTATGATTCAAGCCAGTGGAGAGTTTCCCCTCTGATTCCCACTGCTTTCAGGTTTTCTGGGTCTCTCTGATACAGTACTTGGTTAAATGCTGCTTTGATGTTAATTGCAGTCATTCGCATCTCATCTTTGAACTAACTTCATCTTTTTGTCCATGTTTGGTCTAAGACTGTAAGGAGGCTGTAGCTGTGTGGTAGAACCTATCTGAGCATCAGCAAGCAGATCATTGCTGTTCATATGCTGCTTAATAGCTTGATAATATTGATGACACCTTCCTTCACTCCGCTAATGATTAGGAGTAGCCTGAGTGGTAGTAATTGGTCTGTTGGGTTTTGTCCTGCTTTCTGCGCCAGGATAATTTTCCATAATTTTAGATGACAGCATTGTAACTGTACTGGAACCCCTTGGCGAGGGGAATGGCTAGTTCTTCAGCATAAGTCTTCAGTATTATTGCCAAGATGTCGTTAGGGCCCGTAAGCCTTCATAGGATTGAGTTTATTTTTCAACAATTAGTTGTAGGTTAGCTACGTGTAATGATATAATATTCAGATCTGCTTTATGTGAGGTGCGAGTATCACCCTGTGAACTTTTGTCTGTAGCTGCATGCTGTTAGGCTGCATGCTGTGAAAGGTGAGATTGACCATCTGGTCCCAGGCTAACATAAACTCAGCGCTGGGGAAAATGCACTTTTATGGCTTGCTTGATTGTGGCTAACAAATGTGAAGACTCTTTGAAGCGAAACAGCCTTAGCTTGAAGCCACGCAGTTTTGTGTTATAATTGGCTTAGCTTTTAATTTAGAGACCTTAAAGGATAAAACAGCATTTTCTTTTAAAGTCTGTAACAGGCCAATGTACACAGATTACTGTGGAATGAAGTTCTAGTTCAATATTGTGATCAGAGTCTTGGTAATGTGACCCCCTATTTCTTTGGGAACAACAGGAGGTTGTACTATTGTTTCAGAGTGAATTTTTAGTGCATTTATTCCAGGCATCTGCAGTCACTGTGAAGTCATATCATAAACATAGAAAACATAGAAGATAGGAGCAGGAATAGCCATTCAACCCCTCAAGTCTACTCCACCATTCAATATGATCCTGGCTCATCATTGAGCTCAGTTGCGTAACCCTGGCAACCACCCATATGCATTGATCCGTTTAGCTACAAGAGCTATATCTACCTCCTACTTGAAAACACAATGCTTTGACCTCAACCACTTTCTGTGGTAGCCAATTCCACAGGCTTACCACTCTCGGTGAAGAAATCTTTCCTCATATCAGTCCTACAAGGTTTACACCTTATCCTTAAATATGACCCCTGGTTGTGTACTCTCCCACCATTGGGAAAATCTTTCCTGCATCTAGCCTGCCTAGTCCTGTCAAAGTTTTATAGCTTTCTATGAAATCTCCCATCATTCTTCTAATCTCAAGTGAATAGAATCCTAACCGACTCAATCTCTCCTCATAATATCCCAGGAATCAATTTGGTAAACCTTTGCTGCACTCTCTTTATAGCATCGACATCCTTCCTCTGATGAGGAGAGCAAAACGGCACACACTATTCCAGACATGGCCCTCCAGTGCCCTGTATAATTGCAGCAAGACATCCTTGTTCCTGTACACAAATCCTCTCACCATGAAGACCGATGTAGTTTGCCTTCTTTACTGCCTGCTGCACCTAAATGCTTAATTTCAACAATTGGTGCAAGAGGACACCCAGGTCACGTTGACAATTCCCCTCTCTCAATTTACCAACCTCACATTTATCCACATTATACTGATGATTCTTTCAATTACATATCGAGAGGTTCTTGAATTCACAAGAACATCTAGATGCATCAATTATACATAATCAGAGATAGAAAATTACCTTGTGATACCTCATTTTCTTAGTGGAGAATTATAAACTTAGTAAATGAACAGGGCAGAGCTGCAGTGAAAAGGATATTCCTACAACTGACCCACATCCTAAGGAGCCAGTCAGGCAGTAATATGAGGTGA